AAAGCATGATACATTGGTAAACTGTTCTTGTTCACCTGTAATTCCACCACTTGGGAGGCTGAGGCAGGAGGATCACTGTGAGTTTGAGACCAGCCTGGGCTACATAGTGAATTCCAGGTCAGTCTCAACTACATAGAGAGACCTTGCCTCAAAAAAGAAAAACAAAAAAAAATTGTTCTTATTCACAGACAGTCTTATTTACAAATTGTCCGTTAATTGTGTTTTTTATGAGGTTTTTTAAGAATGAATTTTTAAATGTCTCAGAAATTAAAGTGTTGCAAAAAGTGAAAGAAAAAATTACACTCCTGGTTTTGACTAAGCAAAATAAGGTTTCCTTTTAGGCTTATCTGCTTCCTCCTGGGCCTGTTATGTGGAAGGGTGGACCTGGATGTCCTTTAAATTCCCTTCCTGCTCTAATGCTCTCTGCCTGTACAAGACACTTAACATTTCAAAATGAGGTGGTGTGTTCCTCTGCCATCCTGGCTCAGTAGACGATGTCACACTGATTCCAAATAATCCTGCTTCCTGTTACCAACATCACCCCAGAAAGTTTCCAAGCCTTCTCCCATATCAACCAACAAGAATTCCAAATCTCCCACCCTGATTTGGAGGCAGAGAGGAGGACAAATGAGTGTCCTGGACTGTTAATGAGAGATCAGTCCTAAAAGATGGTTGATCAGAGAAATACTAAGACATGGGTAAGCAGCACGTCAAAATGGACAAATGGTGTACTGGTAAATGGCAGAACCCACTGGAAAATACCCTGATGAACAGCAAGGTGCGCCTCAGCTTCTTTCCAGTGCTTGGGCTCTGGACTGGTAATGTAGACTCTGCTGAGGGCTTAGTTTCTCTCCCATAGTCTACACTGCCATTTCTCTCCCAGTGAAAGCATGTGTTGTCTAATCTTTGAGAGCAAAAGCTATGTCAGAATATATTTGAATCTTTCCATGTAGGGCTGAAGTCAGTGACGCTTTTTTTTTCTTAATTGCTAACAGCTGAGTATTTGTCACCTTGATTTTCTTCAGTTTAGTTGATATGATTCATGTCTATTTATTTTGCAGTCTGGGGACAAAGAAGGAACTAGAAATTAATACTTTAATGGGGTTACTCTTCCGTAATTTTTTATGTCACGTACATTTTGTTTCCATTATTGCCAATGCAACGGAAAAAATCAATAATCCATGTCTATTAGTCATCAGACACATTTAACATTTCAACTAAATATTGACATTAACCACAAAATAATTACTGGAAATCTGTAGCAAAAAACTTGAATATGGGTCACATAAACAATTTGAAGAATACAGATCATCCATACTTAGCCAACTTTAAGGTGAGTTCAGATTCCAGACTTTGATCACCCTTAAAACACAAGCGTACTATTTATGACCCTCAACTGTCCCCCTAGCAATCAGTTCTTCCATTAAAAGGTATTATTAAAAGTATGCATGGGGCTGGGGATTTAACTTAGTGTCAGTGCACCTGCCTGGAAAGCATAAGGTCCTGAGTTCAGTCACTGGTACCAAAAAAAGTATGCAAATACATTTCATATATAATTTAAGACCACTGTTTTTAAGACCTGCACAGTTGAGTTTAAATTCCAGTTCTGCTTCAGTTTTGGACTTAGGAAGTTAATATCTCTAAACTTCAGTTAAAACAGAAATAATACAGCCTACTTCATAAAGTTAGGCAATTTTAAGTTAAAAGTTGTTGCTGAAGATTATGTTACAGTATCTGGCATAAGAACTCAGTAAATAGTACTTACTATTATCATTAATGCCAGTACTTTTTAGTAACCCCTTTGTAATATATTTCTCACCTAATGATGCCCCATAATTATGGCTAATCATCCTAGCTTAATCTCCAGCAGCTACTATAATAGCTTTAGTGTCCTTGATCCTAAAGTCAATTTTTTAAACTGAGTGATCTTTTGAATTAGGAAATTAATACAATTTCTATTTCAAACTGTTCATTGCTTCCCATTATCCAGGATCAAATCCAAACCCCTTACCATTCCTTGAAGGCCCCTTGTGGCCTGACCTCTGACTATTCCTGTGACTTGACCCAAATCATTCTCCTCACCAGTTATTCTTCAAATGCACTGGTCTGTGTTGTTCCTTTAGAAGAACAGGTTTCTTTCAGACCCTGGAATTTTTTTGTATGTATGCAGATCAAATCTAGGGTTGCTGTAGCAGTAAGCTATATCCCAAACCTTTTTAATTTTTTTTTTTAAATTTTGAGATGGGGTCTTGCTGAGTTACACAGGTAGAACTTAAACTTGTGATCCTCTGGCCTCAGGCCCTGAAAAGTTGCAGTTCACAAAACCTTTCCTGCAGATCTTCAAATTTCACAGCAAAAAGGCCTTCTCTGATCACTCTAATATAGCCTCCCACCCACTTAGACCACCTTTTAGTGTATGTCTGCTTTGCTTATTCTTTGCAATGTTAAGAATTTAAGAATGTAAGTTCTGTGAAGATTTGATCTCTTTTCGCTTGTTCAATTCTGTGCCCTGCATTCCAACAGTAGAACAGTGCCTGGTGCAAAGTGCCTCAACATGAATGAATGATGAATGAATGAACAAATGGATGGACATAGGAAACAAATCAGATGTAATATTAATGTTATGATTTAAATTTAGATCAGTGTCCCACCAAAGATTCATGTATTCAGAGGTAAGGCTTTTGAAAGGTGATTAGATTATGGGGGCATTATACTTATGGGTGGATTGATCCATCGATGAGTTCACAGCTAAATGTGCTGTTCAGGGGCGGGGGCTGGGTGGAAGATGTGGGTCAATGGGGATATGCCTCTGGAAGGTATATGTCCCTCCCCATTTCTCCCTTCTCTTTCCTTGTCCTGGCTACCATGAGGTGAGCATCTTTCCTCTGCCAGGTCCTTCTACCCTGCTGTTTCTGCCTTGGAGCCAGCCAATCATGGGCTGAACCCCATGAAAGCTAAGCCAAATAAACCTCTCCATCTGAAGAATTGTGGGTGTTGAGTATTTTGTTTCAGTGACAGGAAAGCTAATACCATTAATTACTGGCTTGAGATTTCATTAAAAATTATTGCAATGGCTGATCTCTAAAGATATCCCAATCAATACTACCCCTCACTATAGCTACAGGTCACTCCTCCCACCAAGAGTTGGGATTGTGTCCTTCCCCTTTCATCTGGGCTGGGCCTATAACTCTGACCAAGACAATGTGGAGGAACTTAGAGCTCTAGGACTTAATTTATATTATATTAGCAGAAGAAGGGGGAAAAAAGCTGGGAGGGCATAT